GCACTAATGACGACTCCATAAGCCCCACTACCAATGACCCTGATGAATCCGTATCGTGTATCGACGGTGAATGTGTGTTTTCCAGCAGGGAATGAGTGGCTCTTGTATGGTTCTTCCTTGGGTTTGTTTGCGAGCCTTGGTTGTTTGGAGAGTGAGAGTATCTGTTCTTCTAGATTGCGTTCATCTCCACTGCTGGCATCCGTGTCCATGACAACTTCCATTCCAGCTTCACTGACATCCGAGTTGGTGTGGTCCACTTCATCCGTGGAGTACGAGATAGTAGCCGAGGCAGTAGTGGCAGTGGCAAATGTCTGGTGATCATGGTCGAACTCTTGGCTGCCTGCAGAAGTCATGTGCTGTTTTCCAGGTTTGTAGAGTGACTGGTTTCCGGTACTTCCACTGCTTCTGGATACGGGGATTCCTGGATGCGGATAGGGCTGTTGCTGGGGATGTCCTCTGGGTGGTTTGTGAACCCCAGTGGTTCCGGCGTCAGTGTTTGAGGAAAGGTGTGTCTGACTGCTGTTTGTTTGCGAGAGCGAAGCAGTGCTTTCTGTGGATCCAGTTCGAGCAGTGCCAATGGTCTTTCGCAAGAGTTGCGCCTGCGCCTGCTGTTGAGCGGCTGCAGCGTGGGTCATGGCCTGCGTCATGGAGATGTTGACAGTGTTGTTTGAGTTTTTGAGTACAATAGAAGAACTATGGTTTGAGTGAGGGTTAGTGCCGCTGCCATTTCCATTTCCAGTGAGCCTACTAGTAGTAGCAGTAGCAGTACCGGTAGCAGTAGTATCGCTCGACGATGCCGGAGTGGAATCACCGTCGTTTCCAGTCATGTTCATGGACATGCTCATTCCAGCGCCACATGCCATTCCCGACATTTTCTTGGTCCACTTCTTCCAGGAGTGAGTGTACGTGCCGTACACTCCAGAGAGGCCGTTGTGGCTGCCTTGAGCGTTGCTGTTGTTGCTGACGCCGCCACTACTGACACCTCTCTGCCTGGAGTGGGAAGAAGTCTCTCGAGTCTTGATGGTGAGGCCGTCTCGAGAACTGGGAACAATGGGGCGGTCGTCAAAGCTGAGCGACCTGTTACTCTCTCTCTACTCGTCTCTAGCTATCCTACAGCCTTCAGACTCCTTGTCTTCTTCTTCTTCTTCTTCTTCTTGCTTCGTCTACTTGTCTGTCTTATGCTGATGCGGTGATGATCGATCTGATGATGATCTGTCTGATCTATCGAATGAATGGTATGGTACTAGTACGGTGTTCCTGGTGCTGTGCTGTGTGCTGTGTGTGTGGACCTTTTCGATCTCACCGAGCGAGAGTGATGAAAGCCTCCTCCTCGCTTCATCAGAACTCGATCTGTCTTCCAGCTAGAGTAGAAAAGCACCGAACAAAAGTGAACCGCCAGCATGATGGGAGGTGCGCGCCCACTATCCCTCATTTAGTACCCGAGCTATGATTTCTTAGAGCAATCCAAGATGGATGCTAACGCTCACATTTCTAAAGACTTAATATTGCATCATTCAAACGAAAGGCAACGATGGCGCTGTCTAAGTGATACATCGACGTTGGCACTTGCATGTCCTAATTAGATTAACGAGTTTTACCCGCCACAAAATGGCCATTTTAGCTCTAACCCTACCGCTACATCAAAAGAAGAGCAGAGATGAGACATCGACTAAACCAACAGGAAACGGTCAACACCATCGTCAAAGATCTGGCTCATCAACGAGAGAGACAGAGAGTGAGAACGATGCGTCGTCCCGTGGTGACCTTGCTATCACCAAGTCCCTCTGCGTCACGCCGGGCTCAAGAGATTCTTGGTTCAGTCTTTGGATTGGAGCAAGCAGAGGACGATGCCTTCAGTGCGTCAACGGGGCAGGAGCAGCAGGATGACTTGAATGACAGGTTTGCGTCGTCGTTGGGATCCGCTGTCAGTATGCAGTGGGACTCCGTTGTCTCGGAATGCCCTACATCTGGAACTCTACTACATTGGTTGGCTGTGGATAACGATAACAAAAAGGAGATCCAAGGAGGATCCTTTTCTCTTCTGGGAATCACTACTAGTACTACCAGTACCACTACCAATACCACTACTAACAATACATGTAGTAAGATCACGGACAATCATCCAATCTCATCCGAGACTCGAAGCATCATCAACTCCCACTTGCCTTCACAGTTGATGCCCCTTAGACTTCGTCACTTGTTCAACAGACAAATTACTTCGGAAGCACTGCTTTCCAGGCATCAGGGACTCCCCATTCTGGAATTGGATTCACATTCATCAGGTTCACCTAGTGCAAGTGCAAGTACCAGTACCACTGATTCAAACTATCTCAAGGAAGTTGCATTCACAATGTACGATGATGCAACCTATGAAGATGGATCATCTGTACTTGACAAGTTGGCAAACCTACACAGACCCGTCACGGGAGTCTACCAATTCCCAACTCATTCACAGGCACTTTGTATGAGACCTCTTCCTGCTGCCAAGCAAGATTTGAGAGGACCTCCTCTGGTATTGACTTTTCATTGCCAAGATGTACAAGAACAGATAGTACATGTACAAAACAGTCACAACGACAACCACAACAATTCGTTCAACGTTCAATGGGCCAAGATCGGCTTTCGAGGTCATATGAGTGGCGGACAGCTTCGATTCCTGGCCACTTCCAAAGAAAACAGCCATTTTCCACTCTTGTCGGGGCTCGATATTCGATGGTGCGATGCAACCAACCAGTCAAGTGTATTTCACGAAGCACAGGAAGCATTGTTGGCAAGTTCGTTGCCAGAGCTACAATCCACCAATGTGCTCAAGGGAACAGGAAAACAGCAAGCTGGAGCCGAAGACCAACGAATTGGATCGTCGGATTGCTGGGTGGAAGTACGAACCATGGTACAAAATCCAAGAGGATTCATGGCTAACGCTAACAATACCGGCAGTGGCAGTGGCAAGCCAAAGGTCGCGACAGCCCCTCCGTCGTATCCAGAGTAATCAACCGTGTACATGTATACCAAGTACGGTACCAGTACCCACCTGATGATACCGCAGTGAATTGCTTACATAGCTCGTCTATTCATGGCTTGCTACGGGTGGATGCATAGCACTCACAGAGACCTACCGGTACTTGCTCGGCTTCCAGCTCGCGTAAACTAGCTACCGTACTGTACATGTAAGAAGACTACGAATGACAAAAGTACAGCACCAGGTTTTGCGATGTACAAACTGGCTGAGTCGAGTGAGTCACCTTTTGTCTCGCCTTAGCATTGATACATTCTAATAAAAAGATACTTACTGCAGTCCGTGTTACCCATTCGCTCCGATGTGGATTGGTGGAGGAGGCTGCTATGCATACCCGCTACCACCAGTATGAAAAAGCACACGCGATAAGCGATGTTGAACTGAATCCGTACTCAAGTGTGCCGGAGATTTTTATACTGGTTGTATACTGCATTCTGATTGGCTAACGGACTTCAGGAGGAACCCGGATGTACGGCGCATTTTGGGTTGACTACTACAACAACAAACAACAAACAACAAATGACAACACTACAACAACAACAACAACAACTACTACTACTACTACAACTACTACTACTCCCTTGATTGCTGCGCTATTTTGCCTTGAAGTCAGTGCCTACTTCGGTAGGGGCAAGGCTCTTGGCATTATGGTGAAGCAACGGACAACGCTACTACTACTACTACAGCAACAACAACAACCACAACAACAACAACAACTGCTGCGCTATTTTGCCTTGAAGTCAGTGCCTACTTCGGTAGGGGCAAGACTCTTGGCAACAACATACAGCTAGCATTATGTTTGGTGTCACCCATATTCCTACCAAAAAATCAGAATCATCAAAGCGTATTGTGGTAGTCTTTTCCTGTGGTAGTCTTTTTGTGCATTGTCGTTCCAAGAAAATTGAGGAATAGTGCAATGAATGGTAACAATACTGAAGTTGTTACGGCTGCCCTGGAACATCTTCAAAAAAAAGAAAACACTCACTCAAAAAAAGATCGACAAATGGGCTTTACTATTTATCAAGCTGTTTGCTAAGTATTGCACCATCAGTGAGGCGCTTACACCTAGAGGAACAGTAGACATTGAGTTCATTGTGAGCAGAACACAAATCTTTGGCTTGGGCGCATAGATTGTGGATTGGTCGCCGGCATCTGAACTGGAGAGATGCCTCATTGCCGCCATGACAATGGTGGTCGGCTTTCAGTTGTGGATGCGAGCAACCGACAATGGCGCACCTGCCAGCTTCTCCGAACGCTTGTGTCAGTAGAGAATTTGTATAGGTTGCACGAGAGACACTGGAGTTATCACCAAGGTTGGGAGCTTGGCTTCCTCTTCGGCGATTCGCAAAAAGAACAGTGCCATCTTCGTTAACTCTGTCACCAATATTTTGCCTCTGTCTTCTTTGCTCCTTCCGTTGTTGTTCTAAATCGGCTTGGTGCTCTTCGGCAATTTGCTTCGCGATTTGTCGATCTCGCATCTGCATGGCCGGTGTAAGTTTTGGGGCCGGAAATGCCTCCAAAAATGAATTTGTTGTTGCTGTCGGATTCCCTGCCGCCGCTGTAGTAGTCGTCGCTGTAGTGGTAGTCGCTGCAGTGGTATTGTGCCGAGCAGTGGTAGGCTCCTCAGTTCGTGTGTTGTGGTTGCCAAACAGATTTGTTATTGTGCTTTGTCTCGTATTCTGAGTGGCGATTCTTCTCTTCTGTTGTCGGCGAGCATAGAGTGGATTTTGGCTTTCCTTCCTCTGTCGCTTGTTTCCACTCTGTCTTGCTTTGTTTCTAGGGGCAGCTGGTGCCAACTTTTGTTTGTCGGTATTGGTTCCATGCTTTTGAATCGAAGATCTGGTCACTCGGTTGGCCCATGTTGACAAGGCCCATTTCGTTTCCGGTTCGGGTATCTTCTTGAAGCAATAGGAAACTCTGTTTTTGAGGTGTTCTATGCATCCATCATATATTGATTGCAGCTCTGAAGCATCCACGTTCATTCCCCCAGCTGGAAATGCAACTGCTTCTTCTAAAAAAGCAAACAGTGGCTTCCAATGAAGCTTGAACGTGTTCTTTAGTTCAAGGGAGGGTAGCAGCTGGATTGTCAGGTTCTTGAAGGGCATTACTCTCTGTTTGCCGTCTTGTGACACTGACTGTCCACACAACCAAAAGCGAATGGCTTCTCGTAGTTTCGTCTTTGGGAAACTGAAGTTCTTTGGTACGGCAAAGAACTTCCCATCATAGGAAAACAGATTGCTGTGTTCTGAACCGGCTGTGTTTTGGGGAACAGGAGGGTGCGATTGTCCATATGTTGTTCCTGCACTTCTCATTTCAACAAGTCGATTGTCCAGAGTAGCGAGTGATTCTTTTTGAAATTGTTGAAGTGTCTCCAGTAGCTTTGGGCCAGTAATGTGGCCACTCTGCCAAGCTTGCTCTTGTATCGCTTCTCTTACAGTGGTAACAATCCGGTCAGACTGAGTTTCTGTAGTCGCGATCACTTTGCTCGCCATGTCCAAGACGCACTGGAGCTGCATGGCAAGTTCAACGTGTGGCGGTATACCTGTAGCAACGGACATGACATTCTTTGTTGGTTCTGTAGTGACAAGGCGTTGTAGCTCTGCAAGGAGTGGACGGTCGTGGAGAATAGCGAGCTTGGAAAAATCATGTCCTGGAGTTCTCACCATTGCTTGAATAAGACTGTCTGAGTGATACACAATGCAAGCAAGGCACCGTAACAGTATTGGGAGTGGATTGTTGCTCTTGCCCTGGTAAGCAGTGAGAAGTGGTTGGTACAGCATTTCCATTGCTTTAAGAATCACCGGATTGTTGCGTGCATCGTTCATGGTGAAGTGAGGTGGCAGTGTCGCAAATCCAACTTTGTTTGGGTGAAGACCGGCTAGAATTCGTCCAAGGTAGTGGTCTCCACTAGAGGCAAAGTGCCAGTACACGTCCAGTACTTGCCCTTGAGACCATTCACCTCTTCTTGCAACAGATGGAAGCGATGGCGATTGGGTTGTTCCTGATACGGCATGTGTGGCTGCTCCCTTGCGCAAACCATAAGGATTGAAATGCTTGGGGCGTAAGTGGGCCATGACTTCTGTCTCGTGCTTCTCAATGATGGTTGTCAGCTGCTCGCAATATCTCTTCGAGGCACTCCCCTCCTTCGCCGATTGGCTGAGGAACAGTCGCTCATCCGATGCTAGTCGGTCTGCATTTAAGGCAACGTAAATCCCATAGCCTGTCCAGAAGCATTGCTTCCAGTTGAATGGATTGGCGTATATGTTCTTTTCTGACAACTTCTCCCCCGCTTTGTCTGCCTTCTGGTCGTCATACTTCCCAATGATACTGTCCTGTCCCACTTTGAAATTGTGGAAACGCAAAGGATCAATGGATGCGCATCTTGCCATAAAATTCCACTGCGACAGTGTCCAGAACCAGACAAAGACATTGTTGCTTTCGACTGCCCAGTCAAGAATGAGGGAATACAGGGAAAACGTGATTGGGTCAGCTTCTTGTTCGTCCACACTACCTTGCTTCTTTGCTTGCGCGAACTCTTTCTTGTAGCTTTGCAGGAAAGTGTCCATCTCTTCGTAGAAGCTTCGAGGAAGTCTTTGCTTGGCAACTTTAGCTCCCCATAGGATAGCATCTTTGTATTTGCGAAGCTCGCCGTGGGTCTTCAGGTTTCCATTCTGCTTTTTCTTCTGCTCGAATAGAAAGCGGAGCACGTACTGAACGTTCAATCCAGCATATATTAAATCGATCTTGTACTTCCCAAAGTAGAATTTGGAGACGTCCGATAGCTCTTCTTCTGGCACATCCCTAGCCCCAACTTTGTAGTAAGCTGGATACTTTTCTTCCCAAAATGTGGCAATCTTGACAAGTCTACGACGGTAGTCCTTCCGGGCTTTGTCACTCATGGACACTCGCAGTGTTTCATTGTACTGTGTCTTGAAGCCCTCCACATCTTCCTCTAGATCTTGACCTAGAAGAACGCCAGAATCATCAGCATTTCGCTCGTGAGCGTAGATGCGTCCTTGTTGTTTCCCACCTGCCATTGTCGTGGAATTTGCTTATTGTACGAGAGATGCCGGCTTATTGTGCGAGAGAGTAGGCTGCATTGAAGGTTATCCTTTCAAAATATATCTTTCCGAAACGACCAGGTGGTAGAAATTCCAAGACTAGAAAAATACGTGGTTTACATGGCCAATGCTACCACCTCAGCCGGTCGGAAGGATATACTATTGGGGATATAAACAATCCCGTGCACTAGTGATTGGATATACGTTTCCCTTAGTCTCAGTGGTACTACCCACGAAGAGGAGTACCGCTACGAGTAATTGCTACTACTAGTACTCACAGGACACAGGACACCACAGTGTTAATAAAAGTGGTACAGTGGTACAGTACTACCGAAGCCACCAAAGCAAGTCCGCAAACCCTCCGAAATTTTATTCAAAGAAACTAAAAAGCTGCATGCAGAGAATGCAAGATCGAGGCCTCTTGGCAGACGAGACTGACTATTGCAACTATTACTACAGTATCATAATCTCCCCTTGCATAGTCTAATTCCTATTGCTGAATCGAATCAAATCAAAATCTCCATCATCACGATCATCAAGCAACCATGGTTCGTTTTCGTTTCACCTCCAAAGGTTTCCCTACTACTAGTACTGGTAGTGGCCTGATCCAAAAGGCCATGGTCGTGGCTCTGGTTCTGCTGTTTGCCAATGTCAAGCCAGTCAATGGAGATGGAGATGGTGGATTGCCCTGTACGTTGACTTTAAAAGACGGCTCAAAATATGTCCAAGAAAACATCAACAATGTGAATGGTGTGACCTTCTCCACGGCCGGCACTCTTACCTGTGAAGCAGTTGGGCCGTTGGACTCTGGCCCGTGCCAAGATGCCACCATCTCTAACTGCCTCAGTGTGGTCTGCAATAACAATGCTTGTCAAAATGCGGATCTCTCCACCCGCATTGGTGGGGTTCAATGCGGCGCCGGCGCTTGCAGCAGTGCTGAGCTTCCGGATCTCTGCGTCGTCACCTACCCAGATGGCTCAGCGTATATTGGTGCAGCAATCGAAGGGATCACTGGCCTTGAATACGATGCCAGCACCAGCTCGTTAACCTGCCACACTGGGTGTGATGGTTTGACTGTATCGGGATGCTCAAGTGTGGCTTCCACCAGTGTCTGTACTTTGTTTCAGCCAGATAGTAGCCATCATTTCGATGGTACTGCCTACTTTGGTTCGGCTCTTGTTACCCTTGACGGCATAGAGTTTGATGCAGATACTAATACTCTCACGTGCAACCTCCAATATCAGTATCAAAGTGGGCCCTGCCAAACTGCCACAGTTTCTGGCTGCAGCCAGCTCATCTGTGAAGACCATGCTTGTGGTGGAGCAATAATTACTGCGGTTCCTTCCATCGAGTGCAGCGGTAATTCTGCCTGTGAAGGTGCCACAATCGCAGAACTGCCAAACGACACACTTGTGAAATGTGTAGGAGCTAGTTCGTGTCTCAACTCAGAGATCACTGCAGCAGACAGCTCCAGTGGTACTCGGGTTATTTGTGATGGTGTGTATGCTTGTGGCTACAATGATAGAGAGAACATCACACCCATCAACGTTGATTGTGTTGAATGCAGATCCGATCATGCTTGCCCTAAAGATAAAAGTTCTGGATGCCACTTCCACGGAGAGAAATGCCAGCAGGGTCCCCAAGGAAGTTGCCCGTGCAGCTTGACCACGTCCACAGGAGAAATCTATTTGGAGCAAGACATCAACACCCTTACTGACGTGTCCTACCATGCTAGAACTAACAGCATCCTTTGTGAAGGCCAACTAAATGGACTATGCCGGGATGGAACAATCATGGCATGCCATACAGTTGAGTGCAGCACCCGGGCCTGTAAGGGAACCACAGTCTGGAAACCAAATGACTTGGATTGTGTTGGCAAATGGGCTTGCAAAGAAGCTGTTCTCAAGAAACTTCCGTCCGGTGCCACAGCCTCATGCAATGGGGAGAGGGCATGCGTGGATGCCGTATTCACTACAGAAGAAGGGTCAGGTGTCACTGTGGATTGCATTGACACTGAAAGCCAGGCGTGTCTACGAGCTACCCTCGACAACAGTGCATTGTAAGCCTGAGAGCTTGAGAACTGGCTTGAGACAATGTTGTCTTGATTGGCTCTTGCTCTGGTCTTGGTACTATGCTACTCGCCGGTATAGCTTGTTGTATCCCAGGGGTACCTTTGCCTTTTTTATTGACTGGTTCTTATAGCCTTAATTAAGTTGTTGAGAGTTTGCTTTGATTCGCCTCCACTTCGATTCTATTCCTACGGAGGTTCAGAGTAGGTAGATATCTACGGAAGCCTCGATTCTAAAGTAGTCTTGCTGACAACGCAGTAATACTTTCCGTTTAACCCGTTCGTACTAGTCTACTGAGCTCATCTACTCGTAGATTGATTATTCCTTCCACGATAAATAGGTACAAATTCCAAAACGATGGTCCCATCGTCGACGGTCCCATCGTCGACTCGACTCGACTCGACTCGACTTGACTGTCACTCGATTCTGGCAATCTCAATCTAAATGCCCAGGAAGGCCAGAGCACCAGCTGCTGCCAAGATCGATGTCCACCCGAATCCTTTGTTTTTATTGGTTGTTGCTGCTGCATCTGATGACGAAGCGGGCGAAGCAGCCGATCCCAGAGTGGGTTGTGTGATTGGATCAGTATTACTAATGAGTCTGGCAAACATGGTTTTGTCAGCTTCACTGGCATCAAAGGAAGTGGAGCTGGCAGTATTGTCTCTTCCATGTAAGTGTTTGGTGATGACTCCCCTTCGTTCCTGCTGTACCTGTACAATATACCAGTAGAGTGGCTGTTCATTGTCGTATGTTTCTCTGTCACAGGAATTTTGATTGATGCGTGAAACTTCTCCCAAAAAATCAGTATAGTCGGTTCTGGCAATGTTGTTTTGGTAGCAAATGAATTCATCATTATTGTCGGGGTGTGGTTTGGCGGTACATTTTTGGTTAAAGAAATGCGTCCATGTCTTGCCTTCGGGGGCTTTGCTGCCCGGCTGGTAGGGTCGACATCCAAAGACGACCGAGTTCATATTATCGGCAGCGCCAGTGGTGTAGTCTTGACAGTCCAATCGCACGGGATTGGTGACATCGTGGCTGGTGTACTCGACGGGTCCGTACTTGTACCAATTGTCACACGTATAAGTGTAGCAACTTCCATCCCAACCGCAAAAGGCACTTCCCGCTGGCGCACCTTCGGCAATACAGGGTTCTTCACTAAACGGCGTTTCTCCCGCAGGAGGACCAGACGCCCAATTCACACAAGTGGCAACTTCACAGGTAAAACTCTTGCTAGAGCAAAATTCATCTTCTCCTCCACAGTCAGAACTGGAGCTGCAAGAGTTACTGGCAGAGACACATAGTAGCACTGAAGATGATGATAACAACCACAATAACTTCATCTTTGTCCTTATTAGTGGATAGTGGATAGTGGATAGTGGATAGTAGTATGGATTGGTTAACTTAGTGAATGGTTACTATGGCTTAGACAGAACTGAGGGTACCGGTAGGATACCCACTGGTCGTTTTCGTGATGGCAGGATGGCAGGTCACCGATCGTGGTTTTGGATCTTGGATCTTGGGGGGCTTCCGATCTTTACCTGGACGCAATCTTTAGCTTCAACCGCTTTGCTGGCATGAATAAAGCAGTTTTAACCCTAACCCCCTTAAGATTAACCCGCTCCTTGGTGGGATACCGTTATGTACATACCACACGCTTCAAGTTCCTCCCTCTGCGATGAACTCGGCCTTCCGATGGGCTTTTTTGTATGCAATGGCACTGGGCATGTCTGCTTTTACGTCTCTTCCCGGTCACCACATGCATATCTGACTATCTGACTATATATTTACCAAAGCTACCGTACCGGATTGCCGCCTGAAATCATGGCTGAGGCAGGCAAGCAAACAACCACCGACACAGTCCAGCCAGAACTCAGAGACGTTTGGGGTGCCTGGTACCGGAACTGTACATATACGTCTTGCTAGCTACGGTATGTCATCGCTTCAGTTTACTAGCTAGGAGCTGCATGAGGCTAACGGAATCCATGGACTGCAGTCCAGGCTTGGGGCCTTTCTAACATACATAACATGGTCAATAAGTCGTACACGTGCTGTGGCAACTTTGTACACGACACAGATTAGCTGGTAGGATTTGCGTTAAATCTTTTATCTAAGTATCTTTTGCCTTCTAATGCTTGTACCATACCAGATGGACCTGAATCTTCCCCCCTCACATTATTGACTTCAGCACGCCCACAAACAAACAAGTTTGCCAGCTGTGCTCTCACCAAACGCTTGTTTCATGCACCCAAGCATCTCCCTCCATGCTCAGCCATCGCTGAAGACAGCCTCCACCACAGTATCCATACCGACCGTACTGTAATTCGTCTCCTTCCTCCTCTTCCGGAGCAATCTTAATTACTAGTAGAATTGAATCGAATCAGAATCAAGATGACGCGCATGACTTACTCCGGGCTGGTTTGTTGCCACACGGGCATTGATTTTGAAAACGTTGCCATTTGTTGCTTTTCTCAGGGAGATGTCCTTTGCTTGCGCAACTCTTGCTGTTGCACCACAGGAGTGGAAAGCCGTGGCTGTGGACTGACGACCAAACCGGATCATGGCGAACTCTGCAAGATTGGATGCATGTGTTGCGACATGGGACTCGTCAAGCCACAAGTACTCTGTGCCGAATCCAGTCAAGTCTGCTGTGTCTACAACGTGCAGACGTTCCCTTTTATCAAGGAACATCAATCTGAACCAGTACTAGCTTACGTCTGTCTACAGTGCATGCCCACCGTAGGCTGTTGTGCCGAGTAAGTATACTGCAAACAAAAAACTAGCTAGCTACACCACTTACTTACATTTCTCACACACTGCTACCTCTCCACCTCTCTACCTACCTCTCATACCGTGCACATATGGCAACAGCCCGGGAGAATGCCGTGCTTTGGACCACGTTTTCAAAGAAAAAAACTTGGAAATCTATCCTGGAACCATGCCAAACAAAGAAGCGCCCATGGGAGCCGATATGGATCGTGAGTAAACTTGGGGCGTGGAATGGTAAGATATGGTGCAACTACTTGGTTAGTTAGTAGCTCGAGCAAGGAATCGTGCAAGGCAGACTTGGAAAGTGCCAAGCACACATCAAAAAGACGAAATTTTTCCAACTCCAAGCATGCATTGGATGATTCGATTCGATTCGCTCGTCATGTATGATTTAAAATCAATAAAAAATGGAGATACAGAAGACGCATACATGCATATTTGACTATTCGTACTTTCGCTCCAGTTGCGACTTTGCCACAGCTAGTAGGGACAACTACATGTATTACTTGCGTGTATGCTTTTCTGGTTGGGTGGTCAGGTTCCCGCTCTCCACGGTACAGCCGTACATGTAGCTTCGTCTCTCGGAACCTGACTATGCAAGAAGCAGTGCAAATCTAATGGGCGTTCTGGGACCCGTAAACGAGTCGAGTGAGTCAGAGTGAGTCCTCTGAAGACATCATGGTGAATATTAGGGGGGTCTTACCAATACACAGGTGTGGGCGACCATTTCACCCTCTTTCTTGGTACCTGGCTCCACCTGCAGCTGCCTGCACAACCCACATTAATATTGCCAATCACTTTCCCCAAATTTAGAGGACGCCTAACCACAGTGCTGGGCAAGGTTGGAAGGTGCATCTCTCAGCGCGAACTCTTATGCATACTTACTTGTTATCTATCTATTGACAAAGACTGAGTCTTGCATCCGGTGGGTGGGATCCGGTAGGGTGTCTACGTGACTGACAAAACCTTCCTTGACAGAGCTCGACCATTTGTCAGCGCTCGGATATGCGGTGAAGTGGGAAACCCTTGGTAGGATTTCTACATACGCGATGATTGCCAGCGACACAAATGACCAAGCAGGCAGGGGGATGGTGCATGCGAAATTCAAATCACGGGAGAGTAGGGCGACCAACAAACTGAATCACCATTCGAAAGGTGACCTTTCGGACACCGAGTCATGCATTGGGGTGACGTTTGGCGGGGCAGGCTTCCGTTGAGAAGGCGGATTGAGGTGCATACTTGGCGGGCACATGTTCGCCAATGACAAAAATGATGGTTCGATGCACCTCTGTTTCTACAATAACTAGTACAGTAGTAGCCTCAACAAGAAGCACAATGGAATGGCCTCACAATTTCGTTGCAAACCAAGTCAAAAACCAACGACTACTTTACACTATGGTTAAGAAAGACTACCGTCATGATGATGCTGTCTGGATCAAAGGTGGCACTCATCTCCACCAGGTCGCCAGCTTTCTTCGTCCTTGTGGAAATGTGTTCTGCCTTGTGCAACTCCATGATTTTCGCCAGGTGCGAGTGCGTTACAGCAACATCTGCCCTTTTGTGGAGTCTTCTTCAAGTCGTCGCCAGATGGCTGTTCGTGTGGCCGTTCAAGAGGGATTTTCTGAAGCCGACATTGCCGTTGCTGGTGCCTGGGTCCCTCGAGACATGCGCCTTGTTCGCTACCGCAGGATGCGTGAGATGGAAGATGAGATCCAGAACCTCCGTCTCTTGTTGGGCAGAGAGAGGCGTGAGCATGGAGATCTCAGGAGAAGCATGCGCGATCTTGCTGATTTGGTTGCCAGCGAGTGTCAAGAAGGCGAGTCCTCTACTTAAATTTGTTAAGCCCTACTAGTCGCCATTTTTACATCAATCGCCAGTTTACAGCAATGTTCTAGTGTAGTCGGCTGTTCGAATTAAGCAATCCTGCACACAACTTCAACTGGAAGAAAAACAAAAACAAACAACGGCAAAGTCGGTAGTCAAAATGGTGGAGGTCGAGTATGAACGCGGTGAGAGAGTAAGGATCAAAGGCGGAAAGTACGTGAACCATCGTTATGGAGTATTTCGAGGGTATGCCGGGACAATGATGTGTCGCATCAAGGTGGAGCATGATTGCCAACAAGAGCGAACCATCTACTTGACCTCCATCAAGAAAATTGACCAAGGACAACAAAGAAACAGCTACAAGAGACGATTGATGAGATGAGCAACATGATGGAAAACATGGCTATAGAGATTACTGATTTGAAAGAAAAGGTTGTGCATTTGGAGGAAGAGTTGCTGTCAAGGAAGAAGGCGAAAGCCAGTAGTAGCTAAGCGTCGGATGTAGTAGACTGTTGTTTTTTCTTTCGGCCTCTGTGCTTTGCTTTTTTGATGACGTCCTTCTCTTGTAGAGAAACCACCATGTTGCCGACACTGAACTTGTTCTCTTTAAAGAGCTCTTCCAGCTCAGCGATAACTTCGTTGGTGGTGAGGCCTTTGCTTTTGGAGTAGGCAGTGATGCCATTGATGATTCGCTTTGTTCTACTGAATTGTTGATTGTCCAGATGTTTTCGCCACTGTGCACCACAGCGCTTTTCTCTTTCTGCAATACCGATGTCGCCAGCAAATGTACCGGTACCATGCCATTCATCCCATAGATTGGACAAAGACGTGTGCTTGGGAACAAGCTGGAAGCGCTTCCAATCCTCCGGTATGGTTCCCTTTTGCGTTGTTGATTGTTGCTTCTGATGAACTGGTGTACGGGTTGTTGTGGCTGTCACTCTAATTGGAGATGTCACAGTTGTATGGGGTGATGTCGCAGCTGTTGGTGGCGATGTTCCAGTGGGACCATCATCATCTTCCTCATCCATAAGTGTGTCTGGCAATTGAGAAGGCGAAGAAGGCTCTCCAGCGATCCAACCTTCCTCGACACCGGTTAGTAAGGCATCTTCAGTTTCTTGTGTAGCAAAAGCAGTACTCTCCCTTTTGTCAACACCGCCATTGAGCGACCTTGAAAGCAGCTGTTGGGAGATCTGGAAGAAAGTGATGCCTAATTGGCGATCCTGGTCAGTTCTTCTCAGATTGGCCTCTTGTCCTAAGCGCTGAATTCCCAACTGGACCACCTCTTTCAACTCTTCTGTTGAAGCGTCCAACTTGGTCGACAGCTGAACCATGGCGTCATGGTTGGCGGCAAGCCGCTGGTGGACTCCAGGCATCACCTTTTCTAGATTGGCATCCATTGGATCATTGGCGTTTTTCAAAACATCAGTCATCTTAGTTTTAAAACTCTATAAAGCAAGTAAACAAGTTAGCACATGGCTGTAGCATAGTCGGCACATGACAAACAAATGGACTTACAGCAAACTCAGGCGAAGACAGCACTGGGATCAGTTCGTAAATGGGATGAATACCCCTCTCTGGATGAAGGATGACCATAGCCGCTGCATCTTGCAAGAAGACTTCGCACATGTCACAAAAAAACCTCAAAACATGCAATGCTGTCTGATGCTCGCCCTTGCTGTCATATTCCAAAAGAGCGTCCAATGCATCGAAACACCACTCACCAATCGGTGTTTGCTTCATTAGCTCCTTACTTGGCTTTAGAGTCATTCGTGGATTGTAGTAAATCTTCGAGCTGCCATGATACCCAGCCAGCTTGCGTATTGGTCCCATGGGTAGCTTCGTACTGTAAGAGCTGTCGAACACAGAAGGATTCCACTGCCCCATTCGTCGTATCTCTTCGGATTCCTCCTCCAACATTTCCAGCCACTTGGCTCCAACGTTGCGACCCAGATGTAGCTTCTTCTGATTCGGCATCCCAAGGCTTCTCAGGACACGGCACAGGTGCTTGCCGTAGCTGTCGTTTTTCATGGCCTTTGTCTTGTCAACAGCATTCAAATCGGCCAGCAGCTTCTGATCGAACCATAGCTTGTTGTCACACCACTCTTCAGTAGTCATGCCCTTAAATTCGCCTGTACAGAAAAAGCGATGTTGAAGATAAAAAGAAAGGCCGGACTGAGAGCACAGACGAACATCCTTGTGCCGAATGGCCCTCCCATAAAGCTTAAGTCCAGTGTTGTTGGTCTTGCCCAGGGGAATCTGATTTATGAGCATTGACATTTGGTGAATGTCTGTGTCCATCTTGGGAGGTCGCAGTGTGAGAAAGTCGCTTAAATCTGCACGGTGCAAGGACTCACATCGCAAAACAGCGGTTGTCAAATGCTTTGCACAGTACCAATGCCGAAGGTTGGCACTGACTTGTCTGTGGCCAGTGGCAGTCACCGAATCCTTCCAGAGCTCCTCCTCGATTTCAGGGAACCGCTCCACCACTGCGTATGGCGCCCACTCGCCATCCACCTTCTCGTGGTATTCTTCTTCTTGAGCTTTGGTCCTCGCTCCTTGACATGGCGGTACAGCTCGGTGCATGGGCGAGTCCAAATGTGTGTCCAGGGGATGTTGGTGTATCCTTTCGTTTCATGATCCGAATGAATGCCCTTCAACACTGCTTTGTACTGCTCAAAGGCTGACTTGCCAATTGGATTGACCACGTCTGGAAGAGCAACAGAGCTAGTTGCATTGAGAAAGGGAAGCATAATCTGGTTGTAGAGTTCGAGATCGAAATATTCTCCCCTTTCCCTCAGCTGTCGCGCCTCCTTGGAGCCACCTTTTGGTTTCTTCTCACGAAAGGTCTGTAGAATCATAAATCTATAAACTTTCTCTGCTGTCATATTGTATTTGAATGGATCTGTAGGGTAGACCAGCTCGCAATACTGTTCCCATTCTTTGATCTTTGGTTCGAAAACTTTCTTTGTGTTGTCTGGTCTGTCTTCTTGGCGCAATGCTGTCACACCTTGTGCCAATCTTGCGTTCAAGCCGATGGTGCCTGGGTTGTGTAGCATTCCACCAGTTGCGACTGCAGCTGCTGGGAAGGTTGGGCGGCCATGGGCGGCGCCTTGCATTCCAGCAACTTCATCTGCTTGTTGCTGTCTTTGACTGTTGAGTATACGTCGTTGACGTTGGGATGGAGGAGCCATGACACAAAATAAATGCGACTCTCTTTTTGGAGAAAAACTCGCTGCCTGACTAAAGTTGGAATGGATTTGACTGGACCGAGAGCTGGCCTGATGCGACAGATGGCATGCTGGCTACTACCTCTTATATCTCTACTTTGCCCTCTATGTCTCTGTGATGTCAGCATGCATGTGGATACGACTTTTTATCCATGTGGGTGCGCGCGAAATAAGTGCGCATATCCACAGTCAAATTTGTCGGGCAGTCAAAATCCTGTCAAAAAGTGGGTTCGTTTTTTGTCAGCACGAAGTATAAATGTATTACTTGATTTTTTTTTTTAAAGTTGAGTTCAACCACGCGGTCCCCTATCACTGCGTATCCCATGCCCCCTGCTCTACGGTATCTTTTATAATACTAGTATTATTATTATTATCAACATCTGCTGCCAAGGAACTCGAGGCACGCAGACGGATCGGAGAGGGCGATGACGACCGCGGTACCAGCGGTATACCTGTGTATCGATATCTTCAATCTCATACTAGTATAGTTCATTTCAAAGGTCGTCGACTGCATGCTCCTCAATAAATTATTAATTTAAAAAAAGCAGCACTAAGATAAGATAGAAGGATGAAGAAAGGAAAAGGCAGAACCGACGTCCCTCCTAAGAGGAACGATGGCAATGAGCCCAAGCCCGATCAGGCCGTCACTGATGCTCTTATCAAACGAGCAGAATTGGAAGCCGTGCAACAAGCAAGAGATGAAGAGATTGCCATCAAGAGAAGTCGAGAAAACGCCAAGAATGAAATTCCCACTGATTCTTCTACCCCTTCTGGTACAAGACGCCACTTGAAAGGTAACCAACCGCCACAACACGAAGAAAATATATCTACCAGGACCACTGATAGTGAAAGAAAAGTTCTTATGGGCATTGTGGCAGAACAAGCTGGTCTAGCTGCAGCTGAGCATCTAGTTGAATTAGAAAACCTCAAACAGCAAGCCAAAGAGCCAATGCCAGCCTGGGTTGACAACAGCCAAAGCAGTGCTCACCTACCGGTAGCATTCTTTCGCAACTCTGACCCGAACAAATCCAAACAAGCTGAAAACAGTAGGCTGTTTACTAGCGAAGAACCAAGCCCAAACACAGACCAGATGCAGGTGCGCATGCAAATTCAGCAACAACAGCTGCAACGTCCAGGAGCCTACAAGGGGGCCCCTGGGGAAGCCTTGCAACGAACGGAAAGTCTCCAATTCGCACTGGTCGGGGCTAGTGATTTTGACCCAAATGCCATAATAGCTGCAGACCCAAAAGATTTCTCAGACTTTGCCATACACAGCAATCGCAGTGATGCCAATAAACAGCCATCTTCCAAGGACATATTGCAAGTCACGGCTGTGGGTGAATTGGTAACCCCCGGGGAAGACATCATCGATGAGGATGCCATTCGTCAACAGGCAGAAATTGATGCAGAGGAAAGACTTCTAGCAAATGCGGTCCAAGCAGAAGTGATGCCAACAACAACTCCTGACGAACAGGAAGGCGAAGAGTATCCCAACTGGCAAAAGTATACTTGTTTAGCCATTGGATTCTTGCTTCTAATTGTAGCGGCTGTGGTGGTGATTGCAGTGTCAGTGTCAGTTTCCCGCAAGAAAGTCATCATTACCCTCGCTCCGTCTCAAGCTCCAACTACTGCAAGTCCTTCTTCAGCTCCTTCCATGGCACCATCCTTCTTTACAAATGACATTTGCAGAGGAGCACATCCAGTGCAAATCAACACGGCAATAAGAGATTCCACATCGAGGAACACACAAGAAGAAAGTGTGGCCACTTGCCAAGACATAAGGACCAATGGTAGAGGTCAGTGGTTTGCCATCAAAGGAGGCGATGCTTGGTTACGCGTTCATACTTGTGGTAGTGTTACCGACTATGATACTCAACTATCAGTTTATGAAGCAGGAGTTAGAACACTCAATGAACATCCTTGTGATGTCGCAGTCTGTGTTACCGGGAATGACCAACATTGTGGTGATCAAAGCTATGTGCAGTGGTTTGGACAAGCTGGCTCGGACTACTTCATTTTGATTCATGGATACCGGCTCTACACTGGGGAGTTTGAGTTGGAAATATTGGAAGAAAAGAATGGACTGTGTGAGGGTGCTTTCAACATATCGCAGCCTGTGTTTAGAGAAGGTGGCGGCTATGCAATAGACAGTTCCTTGCAAGGAGCTGGCCTAGTGGACCCGGAACAACTCCCAGAATGTGACGACAATTCGCAAAAGCCATCTGGCATTGGTGTTTGGTACACATACGATGGACAACTCTCGCCCCTCAACATAGGTGTTACGGATGAGTTCAATGTTGCTGAGTACGAAGGATCGTGCAGTGCCCTTGTTTGTGCTGCTTCGAGTTCTGCCGAAGCAGACACCATTCGTTATCTTCTGGTTTACGGCAACACCAGTATGGCAGAAACAAGCTTTCGGTTGGTATTATCTTCGGGCAGGACGGAACCCTTCTACTTCCCACAAGAAAATGAATTTTGTGAAGGTGCTTCGAACGAGGCGGATTTCACTCTTCCGCCAAATCAGGTTGGTTTCCAAGACTACACTCCTTTCAATTTTGGCTTCAATGCTGGTGGTGCTCCCAGCTGTGGTGATGCAGTGTGGCATACATCGACTGGTTTTTGGTATGCAGCTATTGGTACTGGGAGGGCCATGACTGTGTCCACCTGCCCAAATGTGACAGCGGGGATACCTGATTTTGAGCAAGATATTGGTCGAGATGATTTTCTCGATACACAAATCTCGGTGTACACTGGGTCCTGCGACATGTTGGTTTGCATTGATGGCAATGACCAGTTCTGTAGAGATCAAAGTTCCGTGTCATGGTTTACAGAGCCAGGTGTCGAGTATCTCATCCTTGTTCATGGTTATGGCCAAAGGTCCGGCTATTTCAATGTTTATTATGAGGATGCAAAGATCCACAATTCTCCAACGTGTCAAGAGGCCACGACAATTTCAGCTGACGGAACTTCAATTTTGGGTAGTGCACTTCCAACTGAAGGCGCACTGTCCATCCCATTTTGTGGATTTGGTGGGGGCGAAGGACAAGAAAGTGTTTCTGGTATCTGGTATCGAGCAGTGGGTACAGGCAAAACCTGGACAGCATCGACTTGTTCATCCTACACAGACTTCACAGCTCGGATTTCCGTCTATGAAGGAGCTGACTGCACTTATCTAGCATGCCTGCCTACCTCAGTTTCAGAGGCTTCACCATGCGGTGATCAAAATGCTGTGACTTGGACCACCGTTCCAAACCAAATCTATTATTTCCTTGTTCATGGCAAAAGTTCGCCTGTTTCTGGCGATTTTCTCTTTACACTAGAAGAAACTGCTTCCAATGACAACTGTGAAGGCACTATTGGACCTTTGAATGTTGATGATGGAATAACTACCTTTGGGTCAACTCGAAGCGCCACCTTCAAGGAAAACGTTCCCACTTCTTGCGATAGTGAAGGGTGGAACACAACAGGTCGTGGCCTCTTTTACTCCCTGATTGGGACAGGTGACAACATCACAGCTACCACGTGCACAGCACACACGAACTTTGATATGAAGCTCACAGTTTTCATTGCAAGCTGCAGCGATCTACAATGTGTTCCGGTCCAGTCAAGGGACTGTCGAACAGGCCAAGACAACATAACTCTGATTGCTGGGACTTCTGTCACGTGGTCCTCGGAACGAACTGAGCTATACTACTTGCTACTACAGGGCGAAGATGAGGAGTTTGGAAATTTTGGGATGGAGCTGTGGACGTCTGGTTCTGAGGACGAGGAAGGGTGAAGGGTGAAGGAGACGATATGCTCGGCGATGAAAGAGATATCGGCTGGCTCTCGATCTCGAGTCTCATAGTATAGATCGAAAGGAACACGGTTCCTCGTGATCGGGTTGATTGGCAGCTGTGCTCGAATCTGTCTGCACAAAGAGAGGGACGATGCCAAGGTGATCTCGTTTTTGGGTTGGGTTGCTTGTGTTATCAATGGCGTTTATGAAGCGTCGGAGCCTTGGAATCTTAGAGTTTTATTAAAACGATCGAGCCAGAAACAACCTCAACTACGTGACGATCTTGATTGCCGCCGTCACCGTGTCATCCCCGCTTTCGGACGATTTCTTGTCCCGCCACAACCTTTCTTCAGAGAAAGCTGTCCGAGCTGTACGGGCACTCTGACGCAAGATATCATTGTGCGCAGAGATCAGTGCGTACCGCATGAGCTCGTCAATGCACGACGTGATTGCGATCCAAAGCTCACGTGTACACGTGCCTTTAGCGGACCTGCTATCTCCCAGTGCTACCCACAACCGATGCCCCCACCCTGCCTAGCTTAGCCCCCCTCGCTCATTAACCCATTAGTTTGTATTTAGATTCTCACCTATCTGATCTGCCTCTCTTCCTGCTACTGCAAAATTTCCACCGACAAGACTGGAAAGCCAAACGACGGGCTTTGCTGGTACAATGGGCTTTGCTGTCTTTGCATATCAAAGACAAACAGGTCGTGTGGCTCATTGCAACCAAACTATAATGGCTACACAGGCAGGCAGGGAGTTGGATGGGACATGGATCATGGCGGGCAGTGATCCTTGTTTTTAGCGGGCTACAGAGAAATGGATGATTCGCGCAAACAAAAGCAAACAGCCACGTTGCTGAATGGATCACCACGTACGGGTGGGGTGGACACGGATATCTACAAATTTAAGAAACCGAACGTAGTCATTACAAATCGGTGTTCGATGTACTACCGGTACACAGCCAGAGAGTTTAAGTAGCTACATACATGTACTGCATGTACATGTACTCACCCCAGCTTTCGAATGGTATCCTGCAGCAGTTTCTTCTTTTCGATTCGAAACAGGACCGCGAGTCGATCTTCTGTGCTAGCATCCATCATGCTCTTGGCTTGATTCATTTTCTGGAGCAACTCTTCATCTTGTTCCAACGTTGTTGGCTTGTCGGCCAGTTCCAATTCCAACGCGGTCTTTGCGGCCAATCGTGCCAAGCACTCATTTTCGGGTCCCACGGATTCGACAAAGTTACCAATGGCACCTCCGGCATTGTCCCATTCCTCGTCCGTTGATACCAGTGCCCTTAAGGCTTGCATGACGGCGGGATCCACCCCGGCCGCGCGTGTCACCACAACGCCACCGGCACTGTTTGCCGCTTGGTCGTCATCTGTGGATGTTGACATCATTTGTTCACGGGTCGTTCCCAACAATCCGGCACGTTCCAATTTTTGCAAGCGTCCCGGAGCAAATGTGATCCCACAGGCCTCTTCGAGTTTGGCAATGTTCCAATCACGGAGCGGGGGTAGAATGTAGACATCGTGTGGATTGTTGGATTCGACAAAGCCGTAGTATTGCAAGAGCTGATCGTTGGAGCGTGTGCCGTATGAAATATAGACTTGCTTGTCGTTCCCGACCGTAATACCATTGGAAATGGCCAAACTGTAGGCATCCCCAAAGAATTCAAAGGAAACTTCTGCCGATGCGGCCAATGATTTGTGATTGGCCATGTCCATGACGGGACAAATGACGTATCGTTTCTTTTTGAATAATTTGGGCAAGACAAAGTCTTTGAGAACTTGTGCGCAAAAGACAAGTCCGGCACCATTGGCGGCTTGTTCCAAGGTCCCCAATCCGGCGCCCACATAGACCAATACCAGCAACAACGTAAAGGCATAGCTGAAGGGATTAAAGGCTCCTCCCGTGTATGCTCCTGAAAATGCCCTGGAACGAGCGCATTCGCATCCCCAGACAAATTGGTCCCACGTCATCCACTTACTGGCATCGAGTTTGTCGTAATATTGTTTCCATTGTTGTTCTTGTCGTGGAATGGAGTCTTGCAAAAAGTCGTATTGCAATTGTGATTGTTGTTCCTTGGTCCAATGAATGGGAGTATCAAAGGCCCGTGGCAGAGCTGCCAACCAGGGTTTCATGTCGACTTTGCTAGACTTGACAGAACTGACATGATCCAGCTTATTCAAATAGACAGCAAATTGGACATACCAGGGCAACGTTTCGAGTAGTTTGCGATCGACTTGTGGCAATTGTAACACGGATCGATCATCGGGTCCTTCGCCCGGACTTTCAATCGACAAGGCTACCGCACTGGGGACTGTCAAGACCAAACTATTCGATGCCAAATCTTGTTGAGACGAAATTCCCAATCCGGCATCCTGGCTTTCACTTATCGAGATTCCACCGAGTCTAATTACCATAATGTAAAAAGCAGCAAAAATAGAGTATAAGGGGATGAAAAATCACAAACACAGAATTTTTTGTAGTAAAACTCACTTGATCTCTACGGATTCCGCCCACTCGAGCAGATCCTTCAACGTCTTGGATCTGCTGGTGCTGGTGCTGCTGCTGCTGCTGGCCCATAAACGCATCCTACTAGTACTTGTAGCGGGTACATGTGTGGGACGAGTTTGAAACGCGGTAGCTTCTCGCCATGGTAGGATAGGAACTGTCAAGCAGACGAGCCGCAGACTGAAACCAATCAAGCCTCTCATACTACCGGTAGCTAGTATTTTAATTTTGTCCACAGATAATTGCTCTGCTATCTAGCTAGCTATCTAGTAGCCACTCTTTGCTATGGAAACAAGCAACAGCCACCACAACCAACAAAATGGTGGACAACATAAATCGATAACTGGATCTCTTTGGTGGGAGATATCTTTGAAGGTGGCGGCAGATCTTGTTTGTTGACACCACTGACGTCAGTGGTCACATCAAAGATCGTAACTGTTAAGCAGTAGAGCTGGTGAAAATGGTTCCTGACAAAGATCCAAAGATCCTTTGGGAGCGTTCGACTTTTTTATTTTCATGGGGGTTAGAGTAGACTAGGGAAATTATTTACGGCGTTTTTAAAAGCCAACATCCCGGTTCCGTACTTAGCCCGTCATGCATAGAAATGCATTTATGGGATTGCCACATGTACTCTCCCGGCTGCTCGACTCCCGCTTTGGTCCATCTCGTGGTCTGACATGGATCCGTCAACCCCCACGGACAAGCCTGGCACGGCAAAACCACGGACGTTTGTTGTTGTGCAATGAATGTCTCTCTTTTGAAGTTCGCCTCGTACTCACAATCGAGCCTCGTATATAATCTGCAGCGGCGACTATAGGTGTCCCGAACCAAGTCGAAATGGTTGCATCTGCTGCGATCCCTACCGGTACGTTCGCCGACTCTTTAATTTGGACTTCTCATTTCTGGCGAAGGTTCGATCTCCAGGAAAAGACAATCCAAATACGCCTCCGGCCATTTCAGGAGGTATCGGCCGGGTACCGTAGATATGTATTGGTATGGCTTGCTGTTGGCGTTTTCCATGAAGAGGGCCCCATGGTTCTTTCCATTTCGTCTCTGAATTAAGTGGGTCAGATACGGTAATCGTCGGACTGCTGGTTTGGCCGATCTCCGGATCCAATACTTGGAGAGTTTTTATTAAAACGGCTCCAACAAAGCCTATAGCTGGTGTATCCAAAAGTCGAACAACACGTTGGGTGCTTCGTGTGTGCAGTATCATGATCTACCCCACAACGTGCGCAAATCGAAGCCACAGTTGAAATAGCTGTTCATCAGTGGTAGTGTTTCGTCTTTGGTAGACACATAGTTTTGCCCCCGAATGATGTATCAATTGCAGCAAATGATCTGCTTCTTTGTATACTCTTCGTGCCCATTCCGTTTCTGCCATGTAGCGATGACAATCGTGAATGAGGACGATGGGGGAATCGGGCGAAGTAGTGATTGTCGCATTAAGATTGTTGTCGCCCATGGGATGATCGTCATGATGGAGTTGGTGGTGATGATGGTCTTGACTCGTTTCGTCGATTTGAAATGTTAATTGTAGGAACTGCTGCTGCTGCTGTGTCTGCTGTTGGGATGATGATGATGATGATGATTGATGGAAAACCTGTTGCAAGTTGTTGTTGTTTGTCATTGCACTGGCATGCAAAAAGCAGAGCAGCATGCATGCCAATCTCCATCGTCCATCCACCAGATAGACTTGAAAAGGAATTGGTTCCATTATGAGGGGCAATAGTTCATAATGAAGAATATTCTTGGGCAGCCATGGCTTGGATGGATACCCCCATGCTCGTGTTTCTCCAATGTCGGCAAAATAGAATCGGAAATGATCATGAACGTCATCATTTGCGTTGCTGCCTTCTTCTTCGTCTTCGTTGTCATGTTGTTTTAGAAGCGTAGCCCGTGTCTTGGCGACATATTCCGGATCGGAATCAATTCCCACGTATCGTGTGACGCCTAGATAGTCTGCCATGAGAGTGCTTTCTCCCAGTCCATATTCCATGACCGAATGCGCGTGGCTGTATATTTGACCTAATAGTATCCGATCCTTGTCGAGAAGTCCCCCCGTAGTGGCCTTTTCAGTTTGGAGCCATTCTTGAATGTCAAACGAACGACGGTGCTGTTGTTGCTGTTGTTGCTGCTGTGCTGAAGAGGGCTTTTTTGTTTTCTTGCGCTTTGCAAAGATGGGTTGGAACCAAAAGTCGTCATTGTCATTGTCGTTCTCTGTAGCTAGTTTTTGCTGGTCCGTACTGGTACTAGCAGCAGTTTCTTGGTTGTAAAGATGGTAGTACACTTCCTGAAGGACGGAATCCCACTGCCTATTCTTTGGCATATCTGCACTAGTGGTACTGGTGGTAGTCGCGGGACTGCTTTGTGACACAAGATCTTGAAAAGTGTGAAAATGTGGTTTTGGAGAACTTCGTCTTAGCATATCCCTGAGCTGTTCATCCATTGACGCCATAATGTAGTTGAATTCAAGGGGTCGTTTCCACAACTTGAGTTGGCTCTTCCAATGCTGCACTTGGCTGTAGTACACGTAACCTTCGGACACAAGTAAACCCGAGATCAGAGTTCCCACGAGATACCAAACATGCCGAACTTGAATCTGCACCAGCAGACGTCTATAAGATAAAGACGAATCATGAGTAGTAGTCAGTGAGGTCAAACGCTGCTGTTGAGGTCGTCGTCGTCGAGTATTATTAGTTGAAGAGAGCATTGTCCTTCTGTCGAATTGGAAACAATGAACAACGGCTGTGATTGCTGCGTCGACCGGTCCTTGGATCGATCTTTGGATCGATCTTTCCTGAAAGTGATTTTGCTTAGGGTTAGAATTATTGGGACGTCATAGGCTTGGGACACGATCACGTCACCCCTCCAAACCTTTTAGTCGCGGCTGTTTAGGTACCGGTTACCGCTACTGCCGGGACCACCAAACGGGAAAAGCAAAAGAGTGCCAATGGCCTTCCAATGGACCGACGGCAGCAACGCAGAAACTGATCAAGTTGACCCAAAGGTTGCCTGCACAAGAGGTTCAGTAATCAATCTGTTACTAGCTACCTGTATCTAGCAGAAGTGGAAGAAGGGTTGGTGATCTTTGTCACATTTTGACTTTCTTGGGTATACCACTGGCTATAGCGGTAGCCACAGGAACCGGTATATCTCTACCAGTGCCCATTATAGTATAGTAGTATACCTGATCTTGCTGATTGCAGTGCTGATTGAGTTATAACTGCTTGATTTCATGGTGTTGAAGATGGATAATCCCTCTCTCTTAGAATTTCTAAGCACTTGGCTGCTCAAGACTCGCATGACTTTTTACAATGACGACCAGCTCGTGCTTCCGTGGTGGTTTGGCCTCTGCTGCTGGAATTTTGCCTTTGCAGGAGCTTTCATGCTCTGGATAGAACCGCAATGGATCCAGAAACCTCAAAAGATAGCATTTTGGCCCTCCTCCTTATTCTCCCTCCACATTAAACTTCCCTACCGAACCGTAGCCTATTTGCTCATTTTTGCACAGGCTCCACTCAGTTTCCTAGCTGATTACTGCTACATGACGCAGGACAGTTATTGGCATGTCATTGACAGGTGCTTTGCTATGCCACTCATGGGATTGGAACTACTCAAGTTCACTCTCATGGCCAGGGAGTCACTCCGACATTTACAATTCAAATCAAACCCCATTGCCATGCCCGTCCCATTGCTTGCACTTTACCTTTTCGCTACACTCTTTGCCATTTTCTCCTATGTACAATCCACCCAGGCACAAGCAAGGAGAGATCATCAAGCATTCATTCTATGGCACAACAATTGGCACTTGTTCCCACTCATCGCCATGGCCATTCTCGCTTTCGATTTCTATGTCTGTCAAGGATGGAAACGATCCACCAGAAAGTATATGTATGCCATTGAAATCAAATACCTTCTACCAAAGGACACAACACCAAAGGCAAAAGCAAAAGCAAAACTATAAATGCACTGCAATGCACAGCATCAATTGCACAACCCGAGAAACGCAATACCAGACAATCCTGTAAATTCAAATGTCACTAATTTTGAATCGAATCATCACCACACAACAGTACCTCGCGTAGCTACTGTACACCCATAGACCTGATCAAAGTTGAGTCAGAGGCAAACCATTCAACGTTCACCCACTTCCCTTTCACTTGAGGAGGTAATGTCTTTGGAATTGAATCATTCGGCGACCCAATTTCGTTTTCGGCTACCGTTCCAAAAACAACCCAGACAAACGACGAGAGGATCGTGATAAAACGTGATGAATCTCTGCGGTACCGATACAAAGCCAATGGAGCCAAGGTCGGAGCAGTCTCGTCCTCGCCGTGGAAAAGCGACAACCGTGGAACCTTAAGCTTTCACCTGACTGCACCCCATTCGTCAACTCAACCACGAAAACGAGGACTGGCTGGCCATAACAGAAGGTTAGATACGGTAGGTCACTAACCGAAAACGGTATACAAGGATCAAATAGGCCAAAACGATGCTAAACGCTTCATTTCTTCACCAAATTGCACGGCTAAATGTTTGCAAGTGGCTTTTTAGAAAAAATGGAGTATTTTCGACAAATTGGAGTGGGCCGGTGCTCACACACAGCTCACAGGAAGCAATAACGACACTACTGTTTCACAGATATCTTTCTGCCTTCCGGTACCGGCTTGCCCCGACCGAGATTATGGGGGGGTTAGGCAGCAGCGCGGGGGAGGGAAAAGAAAAAAGAGAGGGAGAGGGTTAACCCGTGGGATTCCGAATTCCCAACCAGTGAGCCGGCAGGGTCTGACGTTGACCAAAAGAAGTCATAACGGACACTGCACACACGATCGATTGAATAAAATACTTATAGGAATGAGGGGAGTAGGCAATGTCCGCCCATCTCCCCCACAGGTAAGACGTCTGAAGAACAAGTATATGTCAGTAAATACGTCACCAGAGAGGTTCGTTGATCAAATTCAAATCGTCCAAACGGAAGCCGGCCATCTGACTCGCTTTTTTCTGTTCCCAATCCTTCGCTCGCACCACACTCTCCCATTTTTCGAAAATCGTGGACGTACAACAACAGCAACAACACCAATCGTAACAACATCGAAGCATCGCACAAGCACTGTTTGACAATGAGGATCGCTACAAGTCCTTCCTTCTCCAAGTGGCTGCTTAGTGTGAAGAGATACCCATTGAATGAGCTGAGGGCAACAAGGCATGGTCTCACTTGCAAGTACATTATAGTGGAAGATCACCTCACCAACCACCATGGTGAGAGGTTGGAATGTTGGCGCACCAGTGAAGTGCCGAATCTGACTCTGGAGGACATGATATACCAAGGAGCATGCAAGCCTCTTCCTCCTGACATGACCGGCATCATGGACTACATGTTTGAATGGGGACGCCAGGATTCTCCACAATGGTACCGTGCTGTGCTTGCTACCCTGTATGAAATGTTGGAGGGTCCAGATCGCTGTGAAAGGAAGGACATCTTTATGGAGTGCCTCTATTGGTTAGTGAAGGATAGGATCATTAATGAGTATGAGTTGTCCTCGATTGAAGGTCAGCTTTGCATGGATGCTTGGCATGGGTATTGCATCCAGTGGTACCAACCCAAATTTTCCTTCAAGGAGTATTGTATGATGAATCACGAGTTTGTGATGCTGTGCATGGAAGACCTTCAATATCATGGAGGCCTGAGACCCCAATTGGCTATGTTTATTGATGGCAACAACCAACAAGGACTTTGAATGTAAGTTACTAATGGCTACATTAGAAAAGAGGTTTTCACATCTAATAATTTGTTCTTATTCATTATGTCGAATAACCATGGAATCTAGATTGGCAATTGATATCATGTGGTGGTCTTCCTCTACTGTGTGTCAACCAATGGCAGTATTTGTGACAGCAACCATTTGGTGGAGGTTGCTGGAAAGGAGCTGGCAGTATTGGTTGGAATTGCTGCTGCATTAAGGCAAGTTGCATCATTTGAATCTGGTGTTGTTGCTGATATAGAATCAGGTTACCAATGTAAGAATTTCTTGTTTGTGCTACAGGAGGAGCTGCTTGTGGTGGTGGATTGCGTGGTGGAGGTTGGAGCTGTGGAACCGGTTGTGGTTGTGGTTGTGGTTGTGGTTGTGGTTGTGGTTGTGGAACCGGTTGTGGTTGTGGAACCGGTTGTGGTTGTGAAGCTTCAACTGGACTGGTGCACAATCTACACAAGCAACAATCATTTGGTGAGTACTTCTGCCTGTGAGGTTTGAATCCAACAATAAACTCAGAAAAGAATCTTTCTCCGGTATCCTGTGGCAGTGGCTCTGCATTTGGAAATGGTGCATCCAGACCAACAGCCTCTGCCATGTCATTGAGGTAAGCCAACTCTGAATGGTTCCAGTAAGGAACAACCTTCTCCCATCCAGCTGGAATTGACCTCCTCTCTGCGACACTGATTCTTGACAGGAAGGCTCTCTTGTGTCTAATCTTGAGGTTGTACCTTGCAGTTCCAGCCAAGTTGAGTGCATCAGCAAGGCTTCTTCTCATACCACCATTACCAAAGTGAGCAAACTTGTCGTGGAATGCTTCTAACTTGGATTCTCCTCTCCTTGATAGGTACTCTGGAAGCTTGTGCTTGGAATTGGGTGATGGCAGGATGGTGTCATACATATCTTCCAGCGCGAGTGGATCAGCCAAGTGAGCAGCTTTGGCGACACAGTTCTCTACAGCTGGCTTGGTGTCTTGAGTAAACAAGGTATAGTTCTTGACTGGATCGAGTCGGCCCTGTCCTGGCTGGCTACCATCACTGGCGGTGACTTTGTACCTGCAGAACCACTGTTGCAACTTCTGTCTAATTGTCTCTGGTTCTCTCATCTTCTTCCTCAGATACTTGGAGTACCGGTCTCTGAATACCTTGGAGGCTTGCATGTCGGAGATCTCAGCCATAGAGTAACACTTGCCATTGGTGGATAGTAGACCATGTTTCAGAGCATGCAGCACCTTCTCATAGTCACCAGGTGAGTATTCATACAAGCAATCCAACAGGTCTGACATTGCTTGATAGTGATCAATGTGTCCCTTTCTCAAAGTTGATAGGATTCTCTTCTCATAATGGAACAGGCCAAGTCTTCCCTCGATTCCTGGAAAGAGGATCTCCCAGTAGTCATCCTTGTGGGGCCAGGTGTCGCTGTACATGGCAGCTGGGTTGAAGTGGCTCCTCCTTGCTAGCTGCATGGCTGCATGGGAGAAGTGGATGGTCTTGGTGGTGGGAACAAGAACAGCAGAGGCAATCTCTCCAGTCTCAGTAGCAGCATCCCAAACAGCAGCAGCACCAAGACTCCTGCTGTAGTTCTTGACCACCTGAAAGGTGTGATCTTGGCAGAAGATTCCTTTGTTGAACTTGACACTTTGGATCTCTCTAGTGTGCCTTTGGTTGTCACTGATCCTCCATGGATTCCGGTTGGAAGCACAAGCAGCATCATAGAAGTCACGAATGGTGTCACCAAGGGGAGGAAACTGTCTGATGTAAGTGCCATCCTTTTGAAGAAAGGGATCAGGATCAGTGGCGCTTCCTTGCCAGTATGAGAAGTAAGACATCATGGCTCTAAGATACTCTCTGTTGATTGCATTGTAGATGAGGCGGCTGCATAGGTCTCCATTGCCATAGGTTAACATGATAGAATCGAATACTTCTGTTGCTGTTCGCTCCAAATGACAAGCCTTGTTAGGTAGAGCATACTTGGACTCCACTGGATAGAGCAATGAAGCATGGTCTGGGATCGAGACCAGCACTTCTGCAGAGTTGGCATCGAATCTTCTGTTACAGCTTTCACAAACCATGGACATGACTATACACCAAGAAGGAGGACCAGTGACGCCAAAGATAGGGAACAAGGTCTTGTTCTTGGACCAGTTGTGCCTCGCATTCTTGAGTTGGCCAGAGCATCTTCCATCGGGACAAGCTACTGTAATTCCACATCGATTCCAGTCCACGAGGAGGAGTTTCTGGCCAACAATGGAGTGGTAGTGTGGAGATTTGAATTGCTCCTCTGTGGAGGGAACTGTCATGGTGAGTCCTTGGAAGTGTTGTCTGAATAGCTCCTGATTCTTAGGCCGAATAATGGATTCTGACACTACTTGTGCCATTGCTAGCATTGCCAGTGGTGCTCCTTTGGTCTTGTGCTGTTCCACAAAAGCAGTATCATTTACAAGAGTGGTTACCTTTTGACAAAGAGCCATTGGAGAGGTGTTGGTTGTGGATTTCTTCTGTTGCCGGCTCTGATTTGGTTTGGCTGTGTTTGTTCTAGGACCAAAGAAGGCTTCTCCATTCTCTCTTGTTGAGTGCTTCCAGCTTCCTCTCTCATTCAATGGAAGAGGAGCACTGAAATGCCTTGTAAGTCTTCTGCTCTCTCTGAGGGTTTCCATTGTCAGCTCATTCAAATCTCCTCTTCCTCTTGTTACTGTATTCTTAATACAGAGAACGTGGTGTGATCTCTTTGGGACTCTGAAACCAAGATGTCTGGCCTTACAGATGACACACTTCTTGAGTGGATCAAAAACTTCTGCTACCTCTCCTTCCAGTGTTGTTTGGGGTCCTTCTTCTCTGGCTCTCTTCGATCTGTTGTTGTTGGAGGCGAGTTGATATGCTCTCTTCTGTTGCGAGTTCCTCTGTTGACTTTGGCAGCCCATTCCTCCATTGTGAGTGGTAGCTGCTGTTGGTGGTGTGGTAGCTGCTGTTGGTGGCTCCATGGTCCTCTTTTGCTGCTGCTGCTACTGGCTTTTTGGCCGAGTTAATGACTGTCGAGTGAGCGGCAGGATGTCATTGTCGATTTTTCGCGATGGAATCCTTCTTTCGGTTTTCGGGAAAGAAGAAATCCGCCATTTGGTAGCACACTAGCTCTGTAATCTTTATAAACGGTACGTTAAGTGATTTAAATGTTTTTCGTTAAATATTGCTGACATATACATTGTTCTTCGCTCCTCTCAGCCAATCAGATTTCTGCCTTCCACCCCTTTCGCCCTTCGGTAGTCATAGGGAATCTCCCTCCTCCTTAAGTGACAGAATCTTGTAATCGTACCTGTTCTGTAAAGCAGGAAAAGAGGTCATATGAGCACCAAAGCCGTCCCAGATTTCCAGCATCCACCAATGTGGGTTGGAAGCCACAATGGGATCAATATTCCAGAGCTTCCGTTGTCATGAAAGCATTTGGCGTCATGATTATGGTCGATCCCAACTTTGCTCCATGTTCTAGCAAAAACTTATCAGTGTAGCTAACCATCTTGCTTTTTCTTTCCTTTGAGAAGGAACATTGTGGGCCCAGTCTCTCTAGCAGCGCTTCCAGTGCGGTACATCGTAATTGAGTCTCGACTATCACTGGTGCGCTTCTCATGCTTGGTTTTGCCGGCCGAACCGACCACCTTGGTGGAGCCATCGGGACAAGCCATGAAGCAGGTTTCGTCTCCTTCCGTAATAAAATGGTCAATGACTTCTTAAAAGGTTTTCTGGTATGGTTGCAGCGCCCTTGGTTCGTCTGTCATAGCCGTTCAAAAGCAAAGTCAACGGTCTTGTGCCAACGGTACTGTTGCCCCACATTGATGTTGGTTCTTTTTGTAGTGGAGGCTTGGGCGGCAACAGTCCGAGGCTTGATGATGGTTGGGTACGACTTCAAAATAGTACGGTGGAAGTGCTCTGAGGCTTGCTTGCGAGTGAGCTCTGGTTCAATTTCTTGTACCATATCAATACATTCAGAGGCAGAGGCCCCGTCGTTGCCTCTATCCAACCTGGCAGCAACTGTCGCAATGAAGATGTGATCGGTTTTGGCAACCAAAGGACGTTGTCCTTGGCCGTTTGTGATTGTGCGCCTTTTGGATTCGTCTTTACAGACATGAGCTTTGAAAGTATTATAGGGAATATCATCTAGCTTGGCGAATCGAGCCATAGAGAGGGTTGACTCTCCATTGGAGTCAAGAGCTCTTCCGCTCTTGTTGAACCACTCCGTCTTGGCCAAATCAAAATTCGGCTTGTTCTCGAGCGCAGACCAATTCATGCACTTCCTCTTTGGCCCAGCGACCTTTGCGGGAGGAGGAGCCTTCTTGGCTGTGGGTATCTTCTTCTTCCTTACTGCTTTCTCTTTCTCCGTAGTGGTTTTGAAGTTGGTGGATCCCTTTGGCCGACCAGGGCCTCTCTTCTTCGTCACAAACACTTTCTCGCCTGCAACTGTCGGCCTTTTCTTGGGACGACCACGGCTCCTTTTCTTTTTGAAGAAGTCCGTTACGGCAACCTGCTTGTAATGATCAACGTACTTGATCTGGAAGTCCCTATCATGGTCGTAATCCTCTTCGTAATCCTCTTCGTCAATGCATCCGTCCTCGTCCTCAATGCCTTCGTCTTCTTCGTCAATGCCATCGTCACTGCTGTCGGAAACGGCCATCTTGAGAGGAACAAGTGTCGATAGCCTGGACGGTAGACGAACGATAGATGCAGTACGGAAGAAGGAGTGTCGATAGAGGTGCTTCGATAGAGGTGCTTTTATGCATGTGCGAAGCACCTCTACGGGAGCGACGATAGAGGTGCGAGTATCTTTCGTGCGAAAGATACGGCCGACACTCGATAGAGGTGCGGCACGGAGTTTCACTTGATATTTCACTTGATAGAGGTGCGTACGTAGGATAGATTCAGTACTAGAGGCACGACTGACGTCATCGGTCTTATTCTGCAGAAGAAAAGAGTTCGTGTCAGTTCAGTGGATATCTTCAACCGTCCGTAACTTCACCAATAAGTACACTATGAAGCTGCGAGATTTATGGCATACTCAACTACATGTGTTCTATCGATTCCCCTCTTTACATGTACTATATTCAATATACAGCTCTGAAGATAATATTGCGCGAAACGGTCGGTCTTAAAGCCCAGATCACTCTACTGCACAATTGAACTCAAGGAAAATCCAAAAATCGTAAAAGATTTCCCGTTGATTCACCCGTTCAATGGCAGTCGCTCTGCAGAAATCACCGACACTCTTTGCAGTGAAACATTCTGTAACCAGCCACGTGCAGAATACTGGCTCAAGGACAATTCCAGAAACAAAAAGCCTGATCCGGATCGTGTTTGTGCTGCCATTGCCAAAATTGGAAATCTTTCTGCCATGAAATGGGCACGGCAACAATGATTCGATTGGAGTGAGCGGACATGTGCTGGAGCAGCTAGAAATGGACACATGGAAATGCTCCAATGGTTAAGAGAGAATGGTTGTCCATGGAATGGAGGGACATGCTTCAGTGCTGCTGAAGGTGGCCACTTGGAAATTCTAAAGTGGGCTCGTGAAAATGGATGTCCATGGAATGCAAGGACATGTGAGGCTGCTGCTCAAGGTGGTCATTTGGAAATCCTAAAATGGGCTCGTGCAAATGGTTGTCCATGGAATGCAGATATATGCTGGTGTGCGGCTGCAGGTGGACATTTGGAAATTTTGAAATGGGCTCGTGCAACTGGTTGTCCCTGGAATGCATCAACATATCGAGTTGCCTGCGGGAAGAACCACAGTGAAGTGATCCAGTAGCTACGTGACAATGGCTGCCCCGGGTCTCGTGATGAGAGACACTAATATATCATCATCATTTATTGAAGATAAAAGGGCCTGTCCGTACGAAACATGTTGACAAACCATCAGGTTGGTCAACCACTAGCTAGCTGTCTAGCCAGCCGGACTCTGCTCCGTCTTAATCATACTAAAAGAGTCTAGGTCCTTGCCATTGACACCTTTGCTCTGCAAGATCGCTTGAGGGTAGCTAAGAGCTCCAGAGAGACCGAAGAGAACTGCCGGTGTGGTGTTAGTTTGGTGCTTCCCTGCGTTGTGTGCAGATCCTGCAGACACGAGACTGTCGTACCTATTGATAGCACAGTTTGGGGCAGTGTAGCTTTCGCTGCCAAACCGACTTCCACGAGATGAGGATTGCTGAGTTGATGTATCAATACGGATGATACAAGTTGTTTGTGAAAGAGGGGCCCCTCCTAGAGTTCTGTTGTAATTATTCGGCAGCTATGTAGTGTATGCTCTAGCTAGCAATCCAGTTTAATTGTTTCCCAATAAGTTTGGCTCGGGCTCGAACGAAACAAAGTGTGCTTTGGTCGTTCGATTCGATATTCGTAGCTTCCGTCATATGACCTGTACTAAGTATTGTTTGCTTGGCTGTAGTATTCTGGTACAGTACTGTACCTACAAGAACGAGGGATCCCCGCCCAATTCTAGAATCTCTTCTCGCCTGAGTTCCATGTCGTAGGCTTTGGAATCATCATTGGTTGCGTCGTAGCTATCCAGAAAGGCCGGATCTCCTCCGACCTCTAGCAGTTGCTCCTCATCGGTGAAGGACTCCTTTTCCTGTGGTTCGTTGGTGAGTTTGGACTTTTGTAAACCCCTGGGCTTCTGGGTGTAGTCGTCCACCTTTGTATTGGTCTCGAGTGCTACTGATGTGGCTTGAATCTCCTCCGTCTTCTCCTCCTGTTTTTGTTCCTTTTTCTGTTGCTTTTGTACCAGATTGAGCAGAAAGGAGGGATCCCTATCCTTGTTATCGGACGATGACGCCATGGGCTCCAGAGCATCGTTGGGGGCAACCTCCGTATCGATCGCATTGTCCTTTGGAGCCTCCAGAAAGAATGGATCCCCACCCAACTCTAGAACTTCATCTCGCATGAGTTCCATGTTGTATGCTTTGGAATCCGTTTCATCATAACTATCCAGGAAGGCTGGATCACCACCGACCTCTAGCAACTCCTCCTCGTCAGTCAAGGATTCCGTTTCCTGTGGTTCGTTGGTGAGTTTCGACTTGAGCAAAGCCTTGTTAGGCTGTTTCTGGGTGTCGTCCAATTTTTTTGTTTCGGATTCGAGTGCTTGGATATCCTCCGTATCATCGTCGGAATCAACCAAAAAGAACGGATCCCCACCCAATGCTTCCAACTCGTCGCGTTGATTGTCGAATGTGTCTCCTTCGAGCGCCGAGTAATACGGCTCTTTGCTTTTGGTGCTGGGAGTGTCGGTTGCTGTTGCTGCACTGGCACCACCGAATGCCTGCAGCATGGCGTTCTGGCTTTGGATGGATTGTTCGTGAGCCTCCTGAGCGGTAGCAAGTTCCGATTGTAGATTGGTTTGTTGCTCTTGCAAGAGTAGCAGCTGTTCTTGCAGTTTTTGGATATTGTCTTGTACTTGGGAGAGTGCTTGTTGTTTGGATTGACACAGGGCCTCCGAGGTTTGTACCAATGTCTGAGAAGCTTCCAGAGCCAACGATTGGGCTTGTTCCAGCTCTGTCGTTATTATTGGCCTTATAGGATCGGAGTCTCCTGAACTCTTTTCTTCTTCTAGCAATTCCACTGGTTCCGTGGTATCACCTTGTTCTTCGTCTTCTTGATCCTCCTCCAGCAGCTGCTTGGCCATTTGCCGTCCAATGTCGAACCAATCTTGTTTCGTGTTGTCCTCCTTGTCCTCGTCGATATTGTCATTGTCATTATTATTGCTTGGTAGTTGTGGTTCGTCGATAGTATTATGGGGTAAAAAGAAGGGATCTCCTCCTACCGCTTCCAACGCGGACGCTTCGTCCATGAGAAAGGATGGATCCCCGCCCATTTCCAAAAGCCGGGCTCGTTCCTCCTCTCGGTCCACATCATCGTCCTCATCCTTCTTTTTCTTCTTTTCAGCACACAATGGTTCCAAAAATTGGACTCTTTCGACTGTTCTTGTGCTGGAAGTGACAAAAGCGTTTGTAGAAAAGGCGGCAACGGGGAACTTCTGGCATTGAAACCAACAGCCTACTAACATGTAAACATAGACATTTACTGCTAGTAGATAGCTCATCGTCATGCTACCGGTATGCAGGTGGTTGGTGGTGGGGTCGAACAGATGCAAAGTCCGCTATTGAAAAATTGAGTTCTTCTGAAGGGGTGGAGGTGTCGGAAAAATGAAGCAGGCTGACGTACTTCAAAGAAGGCAGCATTACTGAATAATTACACGGGGGTATTGGTCGGAGACAACCTCCGCTTCCACTTCACGCTTGGCCTTGTCAGAAGACTCTCTGGACATAGCTATGGTCATACGGTAGTCAGTGGAGTGTGGCTACGTGTACTCCATTTCTAGCTAGCTAGCTAGTAGCACAGGGAAGTTATCTGCAGAAGCCAAACATCCAAGTCATTCCCATCCCTCTGGATTTCGGCTTGCAAGCTCCCTCCCGCTGCGCTAGACTTGTATTCTAGTAGAGGTACACAATGTCATAATCAGCAGCAATAACTGGGATTCCATGCTCATAAAACCAGATCACACAAAGCCAATAGATGGCTAAAAGGTATTAGTCGGCAAAACACTGAGTTCTAATTGTCTACTTTTGATTAAATTTCTAATCTCAACATAAACATACAATGTTAGTTTCCTTACTCATGAGACCCCGGGCAGCCATTGTCACGTAGCCACTGCATCACTTCACTTTGGTTAGTCATCTGGGCAGCTCGATATGTTGATGCACTCCATGGACAACCATTTTCACGAGCCCACTTCAAAATTTCCAAATGCCCATTTTTAGCAGCAGCCGAGCATGTATCTGCATTCCATGGACAACCGTTTTCACGAGCCCATTTTAGAATTTCAAAATGCCCATTTTGAGCAGCAGCCCAGCATGTCACCTCATTCCACCGACAACCATTTTCACGAGCAAATTTTAGAATTTCAAAATGGCCATTTTTAGCAGCACCGCCACAT